GAGCAGTGTTCAGAGTAGAATACTTTTGTCTTAGATTTTTTGGCTATACTTGTTTTTTAGATTTTTAATAAAATAGGCAATATAACTGTAAGACAGTGTTGCTCAGCCCCAGCTTGTCTTGGGCCAGATAATTATTTGTGGTGGCGACTGTCTTGTGCATTGTAGGATGCTTAGTAGTCTCTGTCAACTCTATCCCTGGATGCCACTCTATCCCTTGACCGCAGCTGTGACAACCACACGTCTCTACATATTGCCAAGTGGCCCCCTGGGGGCCAGAATCGCCAACGTGAGAGTCACACCAACTGCTCAAGAAACCCTGATTATCCTTCCTTTTCTCACACACCTGTCTCATAATACAAGTACATGACATTTGCTGACATTTGACAGGCCTCTGAATATTAGGTAATTTTATATACTGGAATCATTTGGAGACTAGATCAAAATCAGAAAAGTACAAATGGGGGTATTGGAAGAATTCATATTCATATATATGTATACACACACACACACAGAGAGACATATATAAACAAAATAATCATGAATACCAACCATTATTAATCGGTTGTTAATAAAACAACCGAAATGGTGGTTTTATAATAAGCGCTCATACCCAGTGTATGAATGTCGATTTTAACTAGAAATTCATAGCACTGTGTACTTGTGTTGCTTTTTCACAGGTTTCTTTAAGGTGGTTTCGCATATGCTTTCGCATGTCTATGGGATAGGTACAGCAGATGTTTTTATCTTCAAGTTACAAATGGGGAAAATGAGATTCAGAAAGCATAAGTTATTTGCCCAGAGACTCAACATGCTATTTAAGAGCTCGAAACAGGTCTTAATCCCACTACTCTGATACAAACCAGACTAGGGTTCTGAGATTTGTCTTCCTAATGATTGAAGCTCCCCCCAGGGTCTCACCCCTAAGTACAGGGACCAAGTAGATACCATTATGTCTAATGATGGTGAGTCCTTTCCTTATCTTTTTCTTAGCTCTTATCATGGTGTGAAATGTTTGCCTTGGACAGTAATGAGCCTCCTATTTCAGTATAACAATCTCTCTAGAATCATGCGGGAAGCCTTGTTGGCATCTCCTAATGGTAGAACTTGAGTTTCCCCTAACTGCCTGCCTCAGCCATAAATCTGCTTTTGAGCAGAGTCCTCAGGCCTCAGTTCTGCTACCCGTCACCACTCTGCCCCCGGCCTCCTCCCGCTGCTCCATCTGGCCCACGGGGGGCGGGGCAGGGGCTGGGGCCCTGTGTGGCCTCTTGTTCCCCGTAGTTGCTCCATCTGGGCGGTCTGCTCGGGCGGAGACAAAGCAGAGCTGGAAGATTCTGTACCCTTTGCTAGAAATCCTACACTACATGTGAGGGAGGCTTGGGGGATCGGGCACATCAGTTCAAGGCAAGTGAAGACAAGGTAAATCTTGAATTTCCTCCTGAAAGATGTGTTGCTGTGGGATTCAGCAGGTCACAATGAGTGTGGGGTGGTCATGGTCTGTCTGGGACATTCCTCCACACTGCTGGACATTTCTGGGGGATAATTGACCACAGTTTTTACAAAGGAAAACTTACCAATCTTGCTGATGACTTTAACTTAAAAAGCTTCATAGCATGTGTTTTAGAACAGGGCTTGAAAGGGAATGTGGAGGATGTAAGACATGGATTTTTTTTAAGCTCATGAGATCGTGGCCAAATTATTAAACTCTGATGTTTTATTACAGTGATCCAATAAAGAAAAAGTAACATATACACACAGCATACAGTGTTTGCTAAGGACACATGGACTTAGTGCCATATCATTTATTCCAGAATGACTCCAGTTACCTCCGAGCATATCCTTTCTTGTTTTATTGGATGTTGCATTCCAAATCTCTCTTCTTTCTTCTTGACACTGGGGACTTTTTAGCTATTTCTTTGCTCTCTTTCCTACTTCCCAGGAAGTCTTGTTTCAAAATTTTCAGTTTCCTTTCTGTAATCAAAGGAGTTTTTAACTTGAGCACCATGAAGTGTTCTGAGTAAACGTGTAGGAGATGCTGAACATTTCATTATTTTTTTTTTCTTTTAAAAAAAAGAGAAGCGTCCAGTCAAAAATCACAGCTGAAGCATGACAGATTAGTATCTGCTCAATTTGCCAGACTCCTCTGGGACAATCACTTCCTAGTTTCCCCCAGCAGAGCTGCCCTTCCAGCCAGGAAGTCCCTGGTGAACAACGGGCGGGTTCTCCTCGCTGCAGTGTCAGGCTGCTGCCTTCCGCCGGGGCTGAGAGGCGAAGTGGCAGCTTCTCGCCCCTGTGCGATGAGGGCTTTGCCTGTGAGAATGGTCCAGGCCTCCTCCAGGCCTTTCTGTGTCGTCATCTGGGCGTCTCCAGAGGGATGAGTCTGGCTCCGCGTGTGCCCTCGTCAGCCTCCGGGGTGCAGCATCTCTCTCATTCATTCAGCAGGTGTTTATGGGAGGCTCCTTGAGTCCCCCCAGGTTCAGCCCTAGTGGGTCAGCACCTCATAAAGCACGGGGTTTGGGGCCTTGGGTTTTGAGAGCTGGCATGAAATAAAACTTCTGCATTTCACAAGTACCAAGAAGATGAATTTAGGCCAGAAAGTGCTGCCTGGGCTGAAACCCCCTCCTGGAGCCGCTCAGAGGCTTTGTGTGTCCCGGAGCCGCTGACCCGGTGGCCTCTCAGTGGCAGCTGTCAGGAGGCCTGACCGGGGCTCAGTGTGACTTTGGGCACCTGGACCTCACATCAGGCGAGGGGAGGCGGCTGCCGACAGAGGCTTGGGCACCTTTGGGTTGAGACTGTCACCCACCTTCATCGTTGTTTTGAGGAATGATTCTTATTTTCCCCCTATTTTGAGAGCATTTTAAATTTATATTTTGATTGCATTACTTTTAAGGTAACATTGGTTTGCAACACTGAGTGTAATTTGGGAGTATAGGTTCACACCTCTTTAGATGTGTTACCACATCACACCCACTTTGGTCTTGAGGAAAGTCACCCCACATCCAGGCTCACACCCACAAGCTCAGCAGCCACTGCTACTTCCCCAAGTTAAAAAAAAGTGTAATGGAGAAAAGGTAGATCACTGAGGTTCTGACTTTGCAAAGGGGGGCTCTTGTGCTTCAGCTTAGTCTCAGAGAAGGGAGGAGACCCCTTTTTGGCAACGTATCAACCAGTGGCTAATCCATCTTTCAGGGCTTGTGGGAGTGACCCACCAGAGGTGAGCTTGACCTCAGCTGCTGACCTTGGTCTACCAGACTCTGATGGGCCGTCAGAATTCCTGGTGATGCTGAGGGAAGATCTGTTTGACTTTTTTTTTTTTTCCCAATTTGAAATGTCTGTGTGGACAGTCTCAGCCAGGTGTGTGACTTTGGCCTCAAGGACCCAATGCTTCAGTGACTTTAAAAGTTATTATCCAATCCCCCAAAGAAACTGTGCAGCTGGCGACAGACACACATGCAGTGGTGCTCCCATTACAGGCATTAAGGAAACACAAATCAAAACCAGTGTCCTCTTACCTCCACCCCAAGATGACCACTGCCACAAGAGCATAAGTGTTGACAAGGATGTAGGAAAATGAGAGCCCCGTGCACATTGGGTGGAAGAGTAAAATGGGGCAGCCGCAGTGGACACTGATGGCAGTTCCTCAAAAATTAAAGATAGTGTTACCATAGGGTCAGGCAATTCCACTTCTGAAGCTACTCCCCAAAGATTTGAAAGCAGCGTCTCAGAGGGAGAATTGGGCACCCATGTTCACAGCAGCATTAGTCACAATAGCCAAGAGGGGGAAAACAATTCAAGTGTCCATCGATGGATGACTAGATACACACAGTGTCGTACATACAGACAGTGGAATATTATTCAGCCATAAAAAGGAAGACAATTCTGATTGTCGCTGTTCCATGAATGAACCTTTAAGACATTGTGCTAGGGAAAATAAGCCGGTCACAAAAAAGACAAATGCTGTATAATTCTACTTGTGTGAGGTGCCTGGAAGAGTTAAATTCATAGAGAGAAAATAGAAGGTGGCCACCAGGGACTGGGAGGGTGGGATAGGGGAGGGGGTGGATAGGGGAGAGAAGGGGGGTGGGGGAAGAGAAGACTTTTTTTAACAAATGTAGAGCTTTACAAAGTTCTGCAAGAGCTGTGGAGATGGTGTAGGACAGTGTGTGTGTAGTTCTCACTACTAACCATGTACTTTACGATGTTTAAGATGAGAAATTTTGTTATATGCATTTTATCACAATCACAAGTGCTTTAAGAGGAGAGAAAGTCACTATTGACCCCTCACTGCTCTGCCTTCCATGTGTGGGGAGACGGTCTGCTTGTGTCCCTAGAGTGACCATGAGGATGGCCAGAAAGCAGCCTCCATCCCACCCCAGCCTTGTCCTCAAAGGTGGGCCTCTGGCTGCTGCTCTTCATGTGGGGAGGCCTAGACACATGCTGGAGGGAGACCTCGAGCCTCGTGCCTGGCGTCTCTAACTCTGCTGCAGAAGTTGCTTGAACCAAGGGCCCTTCACAGCCATTTTTGGGTTTGTCTCCACCAAGCAGCCAACTGGAGGACACTGGCCTGCAGGGCGCGGTTGAGGATCCTGTCAGCGCTGAGTCTCAGGGTGGGGTCCTTGACATGGCTCCTGGGCTTCCCAGAAACCAAGGGGTACATCCAACGCAGACAGCCTGCTGAGAGCAGGGTCTTTCTAGATGGGATGGGCCCCTCTGGTGTCATTTGCATGAACCAAACAGCCCTGCAGAATCCAGCAGCTCTAACATGGTGTGGATTATTTTGACAGTGGCTCCGGACACCAGCCATTACTTCAGACATTAAACCTTTGTTTTAACTTTTGGGGGAGCCTTTGGGGAAAAGTGCTGTGAAAGGTTTGACAGCATTTTCCTGGACTTCTGTTTTTCAGGATGGTTTCATGGACTCCCTACCCCCATGTGTTAACCATGCTGCCTTGCTCGAGGGACCCTGTGAGGCAGATTGACTGACTGACCATTAGTCTCCCCAGAGCACAAACTGGACTGCAGGTAAATCCAGCTCAGGTGAGTCGGGGTTCCTGCTGGGTTGTGAGACTGTGTCTGAGGTAATGAGGGAGTGACTGTAAGTCTTGCTTGAACATGTCTTTGATACCTACCACCTTAGGATAGTCAGTCCAGTTGCTTTGGCTTTGTGGCTGCCCATTCTTAGGTATAAAAAATAAAATTGAAAACTGACTGAATAGGTTTAGAAACAGCTGAAAGCTTCTCCTCTGAGTTGCACCAAATGGTGAGAAACAGTCAGAAGGAAAACGGAGCAGGGAAGGACTGGGTCAGGTGTCATTGTGAGTTTGGCTGGACCAGTGGACCTGCTGAGCAGGCTGGGCCTGAGAGGCCAAGGAAAGAGTGCAGCCGTCTTCTCAGACACTCACGCGAGCTCGCCATTCAAGCTTCCCCTTCTCATTGAGGGTTTTTCAGCCTCCTCCTCATCCTAAGTGAGGACCCTTAAAGTCTTTAAAATGTATTTTAGTAAAGATTTAATTTTTTTTAAAGATTTATTTATTTATTTATTTATTTATTTATTTATTTATTTATTTATTTATTTATTTATTTATTTATACAAGCACTGGGTACAGTCAGAAGCGCAGGAGGGTGAGAGAATTCACCAGAGTGGGGAACGGAACAGGCAGACTGATGAAATACACTGCTGAGGGGAGCAGCGGGCATGGCGGGAGAGGTCCGTGCGCCATGTGGGACCCTCGTCAGCGGCCAGGGATTGAACAGGTGCTGCAGAGGCTGCAGGCAGCTGCACAGCCCAGCGTTCAACCGCTGCACCACCAGGGGAGGCCCAAGATTTAATTTTTTTTTTTTATGCATATAAGAACTGGAGTACAGGCAAGCGGTGCGGGGGGTGAGAGGATTCACCAGACACAGAGTGGGGAATAGAACAGGCAGATTGGCTGAAATACACTACTGAGGGGAGTAGTGGGTGAGCCAGGAGAGGTCTGCTGCACCATGTGGGTAGCTCCCTGGCTGGGGAATCGAACTTGTGCTGCAGTGGCTGGCTATAGCTTGAGAGTGCTGAGACTTTGACCCCTGCACCATATGGGAGGTCCAAGTCTTTAGAAAAATGTTAGAGATTAGTTTAAGAGCTTTTATGTCCCACATGAGAAATCCCCCCCACCCCACTCAGCCTACTTTTTGATGACTTCTTTTGGGGTGTTCCTGCTCCCTGAACTCCTGGGATTACAGGTGTGGGGAATTTAGAGCAACAATCACATATATTAGGTGAGGTGTCAGCTCTGGCTTCTGCCTCATGAAAGCAGAGCTCTGTGGTTATTGAAAAGTCAGTGTGCTGGCAGGACACTGCCCCCCAGTTTTCTTTACAAAAGCTCCCATGCCAGACCTGCTTCGGCCTCGGCTGTCTCTGCCAGTTCAGTTCCCCAGTTAGCCTCGGCCCCCTGCTGTGTGTTTCACGTGGCTAGCGCAGGGACTCAGCGTGGCCGCCGGGCTGATGCTGTCGCACAAGGACAGCCGCGCTCCCGTGCGGCATCCGGGTTGTGTCAGGCCCCCACCCAGGTGGCTTGGGTCCCTTCCCATGTGCAGAACTTTTTAAAAAACTGTGCTTTCATCACAAATGTAATCAGCACTGACTCTGGCTGCTGTTCTTCATTCTTCAGGTCAAAATGGGGAACTCGGAGAGTCAGTACACCCTCCAAGGAGCTAAAAATCACAGCAATGCAATTACTGGTGCTCAGCAAAAGCCTTGCTCCCTGAAAATCCGCAGCATCCACGCCAAAGACGAGAAGTCCTGGCGTGGCTGGGCCCACGGCGGGAGCGCAGCGGGCTGCAAGTCCAGGTCCCTGGCGCGAAGTTGCCTTTCTCACTTCAAGAGCAGCCAGCCTTACGCTTCCAGGCTGCCCGGCCCCGCCTGCAAAGTCTCCAAGGGCGGTGCCCACTCCAAGCTCAGGACGGGCACCCCGGCCAAGGACCCCCAGGGCGCCCACACTGCCTTCTTCCCCGAGAACGGCTTCCACTATGTGGGGCACGAGCCGGCGGGGAACCCCATGGCCTTGGCCGACTGCAGCGGCCACCTCCTCCACTGCTATGGGGGGCGCGAGAGCGTGGCCTCCACGCCGCCCGGCGAGGCCCGCCGCAGCCCCAAGGTGCTCATCAAGACGCTGGGGAAGCTGGACGGGTGTCTGCGGGTGGAGTTCCACAGCGGTGGGGGCGCTGCCCACAGCCCCGAGCCCGCGGAGGCCACGGGAGGGCCCGTGCAGCTGCTGCGCTTCTCGCCCCGCGCTGCCCCCCGCGCCCCGGGTGCCCCGTCCCCGCCTGACTCGCGCCCTCGCTCCAGCAAGGGCAGCTCCCTGAGCTCCGAGTCCTCCTGGTACGACTCGCCCTGGGGTCCCGTGGGCGAGGGCAGCGAGGCCGAGGGCGCCTTCCCGGTCCCCGGCACCCCGGACCCCGGCCTCCCCACCTGCCTGCCCCCCAGGGATGCCCCCCAGCCCTTCCACCAAAGCGCTTCCCTCTCCTCCCTGCGGGACCTCTACCCAGAGGCCTCCCTGGGGAGCCTGCCCCCCACGGGCATCCGACTCTCCGATGACTCCCTGGGCGGGCAGGCCGGCCTCTCCACCCGCGTCTCCTTCGCCTCGGACATGGACGTGCCGTCGCGCGTGGTGCGCGGGGAGCCGGGGCCCTACGCCTCCTTCACCCTGCCCTGCCGCAAGTCCAAAGCTTTGGCCGAGGACCCCTCCAAGAAGGACACCCTGAAAGCCAGAATGCGCCGCATCAGCGACTGGACGGGCAGCCTCTCCAGGAAGAAAAGGAAACTGCAGGTGCGTGAGCTGGGCAGAGCCCACACCCTCGGCCCTGGGGCAGGGCCTGGCTTCCCTGAGCTGAGACTGAGGGTTTGCCCAGACCTGGCACGGCTTGTTTGCAGGTGTGGGGTTGTCTTTTCTTTTTTTTTTTTTTTTTTGGTTTTGCTTCAGATGTGCCTTTTCACTCATAACCTACTGCGAATTAGGGCCGCCTCAGCTTCCCTGCTGTTGTGTGCACAGCACCCCTATTCCCAAGGCCTGGCCAGAATGTTCTTAGAAGGTCCAGGGTGGGAAAGAATTCCCCAAGGAAATGGTCAGCTGAGATTTTCCCAAACCCTCTCGGAAAGCCTCAGCAGAAAGGACAAGAGAGATTTCTGTTATTTTTGAGTGAGAAGCCTTCCTAAACTTGATGCTACTTTGGGAAATTAAAATATGGAGTCTTGGTCACGTCAAAGCCCAGCTGACCTGCCCGTCTCTAGTCTCAGCACCTCCTCATGGGCAGAGCTGACTGTTTTGAGCCAGATTTTGAGCCTCCCTCTGTCATCCCAAGACTTAACTCAGAGTGATCTGTAGCCTGTTGAGCGGATCTGGATTTGAAAACTAGGGGACCTTGAGCACCCCAGGGGCAAGGAGTTTGAGGGTCCTTCCTGAGAGCCCTGAATTAGATAGTGGGGAAACCAGGGCCAAAGCCAAATCTGCTGACCCAAACGAGCTTTTCCCTTAGTTGCATGGCTAAGGTGTTGTTGAGCCACACTATTAATTGCTTTAATGTCATTAAATATGAAGCTAATAATCCATTTTGGATTTCTTTTCAGTAACCGATGAAGGCCAATGTTCCCACAATTGATAATCTGAAAAGGTGAACTAGGGTTGCTTTTTGGGCGAGTGTGCCCCTCTTCTTGGCCACGCCTTTGTCTTCTTACACAATTTAAGGTGAAGCTCAGGTCTAGATGCATTCAGTGGATTCAGTGTACAGGAGCAAAGTTTGGGACAATGTGTTTATAATAAGGCAGCAAACAAATCCTTATTCTCTCAAACACCCACAACCTTCTGAGGCCAGCAGAACTAAGTCAGAAACTCTGACCATGATGGATAAACATTTCTTTTTCTTTTTTTTTTTTTTTTTTGAAGAGCAACCTTTCTTTATAGGGCTTCAACCACTATGAGTTAGAGTCTGGAACAGATTAATTAGTGAAAAGACTCACACCACTGAACAAGAATCTTGAGAAATCATAAGAATCAGAAAGGAAACAGGGAAAGGGTGTGGGGGACAGATAGTCTCTCCCCATTTCATAAGAAGGAAAATTTGTCCTGCTTTGCCACAGTTGAACATTTAACAACTAGAACTCCAGCGTGCACTCTCCCCTTATGGACACCAGTGTCTGGAGTGTTTATAACTTGGACCTTAGCTTGCCCCTCCTCCCCCTGTGGCTTTCTCTGGCAGGGCTCTGCCGGGTCTGAGCGCTTGCTGGGCCTGTGTTTTGGGGCCGGGTGTCAGGGTCTGACTCACAGCTGAAGTCATGTTAATACAGCTAAAGCAGAAGTAATCTTTCACCTCCTAGGAGTTTTTGAAGACCAACAAAGTGACAACTTAAAAAAAAAAAATCTTAAACTATTTTCAACGTTTCCTGACGAAGTGACTCACACAGCTGGCTGCTTTGCTCTGTTCTTGCTTCAGGATCAGTGTATAAATAAATATGAGTATAGGACATTGTGTCAACACAAGTGGAAAATAATATTTTCATTAGTAACAGCTATGTTTGGGACTCAGTTTTTTATACCCTCGGGGTACTTGGAAGCACTCTCTGTGGATGATTTTCCTATAGAAAATAGCAAGAAATTGCTGCTTGATGTCTGGATGACATTTCTGAAAAGAAAACCCCTCCACACAGTGGAATTTTCAAAATAAGATGCTGGTCCCTGACCCAGTTGTCCCTCATCTTTACTTAATGGATCAGGAGATGTGACTGAAAGCCCAGCAGCGGCTGAGAGATGAACACAAGCAGCATCTCTGCAGAATTCTCTCTCTCGGCTGTGGGTTTGGAAAGTCAATGTCTTGAGACAGTTAAGAATCATGTCTTGGGAATCCCCAGTGCTTAGAATAAACTAAGTGTTCAAATGAAAATGTGTGTGGAATGAATGGCATTTTCTTTTCATGAGAGAGACTCTCAAATTAAGTTAAAAAATACTAGCCATGGAAAACATTGACAACAGTTACTAGCCACTGTGCATAAGGAATCCCAGCTGCTTGGTCTTTACCACCTGAAGGAGGAGTGAGGTGCTGGAGATCCTGCATCGAGATCCGTGCAGATGGCGCCAGGCTGGGCACTCTGCTGACCTTGGGGAGACCAGGGAAGTTTGCGAATAGGACACTGAGCCTCTCTGTCACTATCTTCAGATCCTGGGGCTAGCAGTTTTCTAATTTAGCTTTTAAATGATTCAGGAGGAAAACAAATGGTAAGAACATGAATTCTTTCCTGGAAGAGAGTGATGAACAATTAACTAAGAAATAGCAGTCTAGAAATCTTAGCTAGTGTGTTTTGTATCTATTAGTCAACTTCTCGGTGATGAGCATGGGAAAGACTTGGGATGACCATTGTTACTCTGCTTACATTTTTTTTTAAGATTTATTTATGCATACAAGACTGGGGTACAGGCGAGAGGTGTGGGGGGTGAGAGGACTCACCAGAGACAGAGCGGGGAACAGAACAGGCAGAGTGACGAGGTACACTGCTGAGGGGAGCAGCGGGTGCGGCAGGAGAGGTCTGCTGTGCCATGTGAGTCACCTCCCTAGCTGGCCGGGGATTGAACTCGTGCTTCATAGGCTGCGTCTTAACCCCTTGCACCACCAGGGAGGCCCTCTGCTTACATTTTTAAGCCTTGACTTCACTGGCTATAAATTGGGTTGGGCAGTGGGACTATACTGTTTCTTCAAGTCTCTCTGGTTTGGAGACTCAGTGATTTTAGATGTGTGTTTGTGGAAAGAACAGCAGCAGCAGCACCATTAGCCACGTTGGGTGGGGAGGCTCTGAGTAGACATAACCTCTGATGGCGGGTCATCTCGTTGCTCACAGGAACCGAGGTCCAAGGAGGGAAGTGACTACTTTGACAGCCGCCCAGATGGACTGAATGCGGATGTTCAGGGGCCCTCCCAGGTGCCTGCTTCACTGTGGTCAGGGAGCTCCACGCAGATCCTGTCCCAGAGAAGTGAATCTGCTCACGCCATTGGCAGCGATCCCCTCCAACAGAACATTTATGAGAATTTCATGCGGGAGTTGGAAATGAGCAGGACCAACACGGAGAACCTAGAGACATCTACGGAAACGGAGGACACCAGCAGCGAGTCCCTCAGCTCTTTGGAGCAACTGGATCTGCTCTTCGAGAAGGAACAAGGGGTGGTCCGGAAAGCTGGCTGGCTCTTCTTCAAACCCCTTGTCACTTTGCAGAAGGAAAGGAAGCTGGAGCTCGTGGCTCGGAGGAAGTGGAAACAATACTGGGTAACTCTTAAAGGTACGTGAAGAGTTGAGCACTGCTGGGATCCTTCCCTCCATGGTCGCCTCTCAGGGCCCGTGCGAATTTGATCCCCCGAGAAGGGAGGATCTGATACAGACTCTGCTGGCATGCTTCACCGTAAGTTCTCTCTCAAACCTCTGTCACGTGGCTGACTTAAGATAGATTAGTCATTCTGATAAGTAAGGATTGAATTTAATGGTTATTGCTGAGTATATTGGAGGTGTTTCTGTATTACTCTTTAGTAGTGTTCCTGCATCGTGGCTAAAACCAACAAAAATCCCCAAACAAGCGTCCACTGTAGTTTCGTCATTTGGGACATTGATGCTGAACTTCATCTGCCGCCTGTGTCTGTGCTCCCGGGAGGTCTCCTTCCTCTCTGTGCCCGAGGAGGACATCTGGGTTGTTCTATTTGTGTCATCCCACCTTTCGGAGCTAAGGAAGTCTGCTTGTCTCCACCATAAACATGTATTTTTTTAATGTAAAGGAGAGAGTGAAAAGTCTCTTTGTCCCAGCGGTGGGCATTCCTCGAGCGCTGCCGTGGTGAAGCATGAAGCCTGCGCGGGTGACGTAGAGCTGGGCCCTACCCATCAAACGCCTGTGAGGAAGCGCAAGGCTCTAAGTCGATTCAGTGTTGATTGTACAGATGTGAGCAGGAAGCGCCGCTGCATGGCCCCAGGCATTTCTGCACAAGCGTCCCGCAACTCTGTCAGAGGCACCGTGTGCAGGAATCCGAGGCCACCCTCCTCGTCGGGTGAGCCCCTTTCTGATCAGGGAGCAGGCAGAACCAAGTCCCATCTGCAGGCCCCGCTCTCTTCACCCCCACCGCCATCGTGGGGCGCTGGTGACCCTGCCCGGTTGCCCCTAACTTCTCCTTGAAAGGTGCATTTCAAGGCGCCACCTTTCCCTGGTACCCGGAGGGCTTATAGCCCAGTGTCCAGCCCCCCTCTTTCTCTTGCTGTCTTTCCAGCTCTGCGGTGTATCTGGTGCTGTAGCTGAGGAAGACACAGGGGTTCCCTAGTTTTGACCTGGGGGGAGGCAGGTTCTTCTGCTGAATGGCAGAAGAGACCTGGGAAGTTGATGTAACGGCTTGGCGCTAGAGGAGCGGGAGATGAGGCTGTGAAGGCCTCACAGTGAACACAGGTGTGGGCATCCGGTGGGCAGGTGCACACAGGTGTGGGCATCCGGTGGGCAGGTGAACACAGGTGTGGGCATCCGGTGGCAGGTCCTTCAGCATGGGCTTCGGGTGCGATGGGGCAGACACGCAGCAAAACGTGGGTGTCACTAGCCTCCGGCGTCTGTGCCATCGCCTCCTCCCCTGCCCGGGCCACGCTGCCCGTCGTCTCTGGGGCCCTGGCTTGGGAGGCATGTCTGCCAACAGGAGAATGATCCTCACACGGCTGTTTCCTGTGAGGGAGAGTGAGGCGGCCCCAGAGACGGGCTCTCCCGTTGTCTGAGCCCCGGTGGGCGCTGCCGCCCGCTCGCATGGTTGCAGCGTCGATGGTCTCTGCTCCATGTGTGCCGTCTCTGTTTTAATGTATAAAATTCATTTGTTAACATTGGACCTTGGAGAAGTTGTGCCTGCCTGCCATGGCTTTGAAAGCCCGGTGCACACCCGTGGGGGTGGGGTCTGTGCCGCTGGGTCCCCCCAAGCCCATCCTTGAGAAGCAAGACCCTCGGCGACATCACAGGGATTTAGAGCTGGGCCCCAAGGGGGGTGGCACGAGGATCTGGTGATATTTAGCCCAGAGGACAGGAGAAGTGCACTTGGTGACGTTGTTCTGGTTCTCCAAGGCGAGGGGGGCCTAGTAGGTGGCAGACAAGCTGATTCTGAATCAATTTGAAGCACAAGGGGGGCTGGAGCTTCGGGCAAGTGAGAGGCCCCCTTCCCCCCCCCCCCCCCCCCCCAGCTCCCAGCTCCAGGAGATGTTTAGCAGAGCAGATTGTTGGAGGCTTCCTGGAGGGGGGAGGGGATCAGGCAGGAAGCTCAGGAGGTGGGAGGCCTTTTCCAGGGTTCTGCATTCCATTCTGCGAGCCACTGACCTCTGACCTCAGGGCAGGGTGGTCCTGTGTGTTTTCCTTGACCTTTGCGGGATCTGCAGCCCTCCCTGTGCCCGGTGGCCTGGGTGCTGGCTGGTAACACCCTTCCAGATCCTTGGATAGGGGTGAACTCTTACCAAGCGCACAGCTCTCCCTTCCCTTTGCAGCCGAGGCAAGGCCTGTGATGAAGATGTTTTTTCCCACCACGGCTGTTTCCATGTGCCTGTCTACACCTCTTCCCACTGGGAATTCAACATGTTGCGTTCAACTTTCTTGGCTTAGAATCCAGTTTTGCAGTCTTTGGTTTAATATCTGGTTTCATCTTAGTTAAGAACACACAGATGTGTACACACACACACATGCACATGCACACGCATGTTGCATCTGAGTGGTATCTTTCAACTCTCCTGGAAGTGTCATGGAAATAAACTGGAACCCTGGAGACAGCAGCTATTAAGCCAGCCCGCCGGTTACCTGCCTACCACGAACAGTGGACAAGATGAGGGCTCCGCTGGTGTTTAGGGCTTGGAGATTGTAATCAGGTGTCACAAGGGCAGTGCTGCTTTGTCTGTTCCGGCGAGTGGATTTTCATGCAGTTCACATGGGACTTACTGGGCTTAAGAGTGGGCGAGGTCATGAAAGATGCTTCTCAGCAGGGCCACAGGTGACTGTGGTCTGGGGGCGCTCATAGCACTGGCAGGATGCTGGGGGTCCCCCGTGGAGACGGAGAGATGAATGTGGTCCAGAGGGCCTGGGCGAACAGCTGGCTTTGAGGAAGGCAGAGGTGAATTGCTCGTCTTCCACTGGCGATGTTTCTTCTAAAGGGATGTCTTCTGTGCCTGCATTCCCATCGCTGTTCTAATCTGTCTCCTCTTTCTACCACCCTGGCGAGAAGAAACGCCACCCTCAACCCTACAGGCCAAAGCCAGCTCCAAGCAGGGACTGGGCAGGCTGAGGATCAGTGCACTGGGAGGGGGGTGGTGGCTCCCACCGACACAGGCATGGCCCCTTTCTGTCATGCTGGACGCCCAGGCGTTACAGACTAAGTGACCCTTGCTTTAATGGATTTACGGCTGCTTTCCTTTCAATTCCATGGCAACCAAATGCTGGGTATTGTTGCACATCTGGGCCTCATGCTGAAGGGAAGGGTTTTGTTTTGCACGGTGTGATCCTCTGGCTGTGGATGTGGATGGGGCATGAGGTGTGACACCCGGCAGCGTCCTGGCATCTGTCAAAGGTTGCTTTCACTTCCTCTGGACTTCCTGATTCAAACCACACCTGCTGGGAGTGCACTGGGGAAACCGACATCAGCATTAACTCGATGGAAAGAATTTGGACTTGGGCGGCGCTGGCGTGGCCCTGTCACCTTCGCCCTGGTGCTTGGGTCCCAGGTCAGGCCCGTTGCTACACAGCAGACAGGCCTTTCCCTAGGGAGAGGTGGCAGGTGCTGTTTCTTGCTGTACCTGTGGCGGGGCCAGGGCCAGCTCCACCCGCAGAAGCAGCCCCAGCCCTCCCGCTGCTCTCCCTGTTCAGAGGCTCTCCCTGCCGCTTACTGTGGATGAGTTTTCTTTGAAGGAGGAGCGATGGCTCCGTGCGTCTTGTGCTCACGAAGTACCTGCAAGGCTGCTGGAGGGCTGAGCAGGGGCAGGCAGCTTCCATGCAGCCCCGGCTGCCACCATAGAAAGTTGCTTGTCTTCAGATTTGTTCTTAAAGGAAGACCTGAAACTGGCAAGCATGACATTGGTTTTTTTTTTTTTTTTTAAAGAGGCATGTGTTTTTATTTATTTATTCGTTTGTTTTGTTTATACAAGCACTGGGTACAGTCAGAAGCGCGGGAGGGTGAGAGAATTCACCAGAGCCAGAGCGGGGAGCAGAGCAGGCAGAAGGACCGAAGTACACTGCTGAGGGGAGCAGCGGGCGGCAGGAGAGGTCTGCGCGCCATGTGGGACCCTCCTCTGGTGGCCGGGGAGCAGCCGGGGATGGAACCGGCGCTGCAGAGGCCGCGGGCAGCTTCGCAACCCAGCGCTCAACCGCTGCGCCACCGGGGAGGCCCGACATTGGTTTTTGAACATCCACATTTTTATGAAGAAGGTTTTACTACATAGGAGGGTAAGGAGTCAGGAAGTGTTAGGTGCTTTTTTTTTTTTTTTAGATTTACTTATTCATATAAGAGCTGGGGTACAAGCCAGAGGTGCGGGGGTGAGGGGCGAGAGGACCCACCAGAGAGAACAGGGAGCAGAACAGGCAGATCTACTGAAATACACTACTGAGGGGAGCAGTGGGGAGACAGGAGAGGTCTGCTGTGCCATGTGGCGATAGCTTGATAGCACGATCTTTAACCCTTGTGCCACCAGGGAGGCCTGTCAGGTACTTCTTCAAACACCAGGAAAGTTGCTTGCTGAGCATGGGATGGAGATGGATTCTTTTCGGCACAGCACACCTGGCACCTGAGAAGTGCTTGAAAATGCACCCTGGCTGCAGACTCTCCAGGCGGGCCAGCAGAAGAGCATGCTTGTGGGGCCCTTAGAGACTCAGTGCATTTCCATCTTCATCACTTCTACCAACAGTAGAAGCCTCAGCTTTATTAGTTTAGTCTAAGGCTATAAATAATAGCCTTCACTCAGTAGGGGAAAGCTTTCTACCCACAAGCATAGAAGTTGCATTTTTAAGAGTAAGATTTGAAAATTTAGGGATATTTAATTTTATTTTTCTCTAAATTAGTAAGATTAGTGATATTTCCTATCACAGTGAGCTAAAGGAATATGCTCAAATTATTTGACATGGCATTTGGAAAATAAACTGGATGTTATTTCACAAATAGCAAAGTCCTCTTACCTGTCCGGCTCCAGACTACTCAGTTTCTTGTCATCTCAAATTATACATGTAAAAGCTCCTTTAGTGCAGGAGTGTGGGATTTTCTGCTGGCTCCCATATTTTGATTTCTGAAACAGTGTGGTGGTGTGGTTAAGAAGGTGAGCTCTAGGGCCAGACAGGTCCCCCAAGCTCCACGTGTCCCAGCAGGGACCTGCATAAGTACTGTCACCGCTCAGCTTTCTCATCTGCAAAGGGGGTTCATAAACACGCCTGCTGTCTAGGCGGCCATGGGGCTTGGATGAGCCAGTCCTTAGATGAGCTCCTGGCATAGCATTGCTGTGCCGATGTTGCATTTATCAAACCTCTCCTGTTTAGCCCCTCACAGCTGGCAGTAACTGTCTCAGTCTCTAGACCTTCGAGACCTTGATGGGCTGACATTTTGCTTCTGTCTTCGCAGGCTGCACGCTGCTCTTCTATGAGACCTACGGCAAGAATTCCATGGACCAGAGCAGTGCGCCCCGGTGCGCCCTGTTTGCAGAAGACAGCATAGTGCAGTCTGTGCCTGAGCACCCCAAGAAGGAAAACGTGTTCTGCCTCAGCAACTCCTTTGGAGACGTCTACCTATTCCAGGTACTGCTGAGCTTCGGGAATGATGAGAAAGCACAGGATGAAGAGGCACAGTTTGTCATAAAATAGATCAAAAGTGTAGTTAGGTTTTGCCTTGGGACTGAAGCCAGAGACTTGGCCTCTGCGCATCGCCAGGTTCTGTTGGTGCATGTAAGTCCAGCCATTTGCACCGCAGGCATCACTTGGGTGCCCCTGCAAGCTGGGTGCTGTCCAGGAGCTGCTCTTCAGGATGAGCAGAGAGAGAAGTCATGATCCCTGTTCTGTAGCAGCTCATGGCCTGGTGAGCGCAAGGCCCAAGATTCTTGAGTGCAGACTTCTGACATGACCCTAGAGAATATGCACAGGAGAGGTTCAGGTTCTTTCTGAGAATCCGCGTAAGAGGTGGTGTTCTTTTTTTAGAAAACCTCAGAGACAAATGCCATCAGGTCTTATTTCCCTGTAGAAGTGGTCTTAGAGTGTGAAAATCGGGGTTATATGCTGTTATGATTTTTAGCAATTTCTAGCACCTGAGAAGCCACAGAACATGGTGGTGCAGAGCCCCTGATTTGGGGGAGACTCATATGTGAATGGATCGTGTTGCTGAAGCTGCGTGTCATCTGGGGCCACTGACTGGTCTTCTCTGAGCTCTGGCCCCTGCATCAGTAATATAATAATTTAAGGGTAATAGCATAATATGCATGGGGTCAGCACTGCAGAAATTCTATTATCACTGTTGTTAGTTTAGTTGGAAGGGTGATGTCTCACTCGCCTGTCCTCCCAAGGCCAGAGTGGCTGGTTGACACATCCAGACTGTAGGTCATGTCTGGTCAGAGGTTCATAGAAATCTCTTAGGTCCTGGGTTCAAGTCCCAGATAAAGCTGGTTCTGGGTGGCCCAGGAGCCCCCTCAGAACACTGGTGTTCTTTCTCTTGGCTGACTTTGGGAATCCAGGGTACTCTGAGCTGATGCTGGTCTCCAGCGCCAGCACCAGGAGCACCCACTGAACTGCTAGCTTTGCTGCGGTCCCCAAACTGACTTCACTTGCAAGAGTCCAAGTCTGAGATTTGATTTTCCTCCCCCAAGGGAAAGTTAAATCCTGTGTGTTGCTTGAAAGCAAAGTGATGAGTGGATGCTCATCTGAGCTGTAAGGAAGGTAAGTTGGTTAGGGCAGATCTGTATGGACTTCGCAGGCAACTGTTACATGGATATTTCATTTGTAATTCAGGCAAAATATCCTTAGTTCTAAGAAGATGTCCCAGTAGTTCTGTTGTCGGATCCCAGAACCGCCTGTAGGGTGGAGCCGATTGCTTGAATGTGTGGTGTTGCTTCTGGACCCCAAGGGAGCCGAAAGTGATGTCAGTCTACTTAGATTCATACACCTCTGCCCATTTTGCTTCAGTAAACTTGACTGTTTTTAAAACAAAAAAAATTATTTACATGAAAATAGTGTATCATTGCATCTGGAGGTGCTGAAAAACAGAGAAGGGAAAACCACATCTGTGTTCTTAATATTCATAGACAGCAGTTTTAATGTTACTGATATTTTTCATAATTGAGCCCAGATCATCAATGCAATTTCACATCCAGGTTTTCAAATTTAATATCTTAGTCCTAATACGTTCTCATTTTGTTGAGATTATGAAGACAAACTGCTTTTCAGCAAGTGGCCCCCTGTGGCACTGAGCAGATAGACCTGACTCCCCCTGCACCTGTTGGGGTTGACAGCTTGTTTTTAGCTGGTCCTCTGTCACGCGTGTGGTACCTGCTGCTTCTGCTCTGCCTCCATGTTCTTTCAGACCCCCTGGCATCAAGGATGCTGGCAATTGCAGCTGAGTGGTTGTTGTGTTTCTGAAATGAATGGTTTTCTATGAAGTGAAGGTATTTCTTGGGTTTTACACATCACAGACCAGCCTGCTGCTTGGGACAGCACCTGGTAGTAAAACAATTTCAGGTGGATTTTCCCCCTTGTTCAGGCCACCAGCCAGACGGATCTGGAGAACTGGGTCACTGCCATACATTCGGCCTGTGCCTCACTTTTTGCAAAGAAGCACGGGAAAGAGGACACAGTGCGACTGCTGAAGAACCAGACCAAAAACCTCATCCAGAAGATAGACATGGACAGCAAGATGAAAAAGATGGCAGAGCTGCAGCTTTCGGTGGTGAGCGACCCCAAGAACAGGAAAGCCATCGAGAACCAGGTACTGCTTATTTCCAGAAGGATTTCCTTTCATTGCTCACACTGTTCCCAGCAAAACCCCGTGTTCAAATGCCAACTGCTGATGCTTGTCCCCACTCTGGGGAGGTCTTTTCTGTGGCTCTCATTTTAAGTACTTGACCTGTACTTTTGTGCACTGCTGATGTGGTGTGTTTGACTGTCTTTGGTTGCTGTGTACACCCATGCACACATACAAAGATGACAACCTTTGTGTAATGCTCCTGTCATGTGTAATGCTCCTGTCATATATGTACATGCATTCATGCACACACACACATACTTGGTGCCCTTAGTGTATATATGCACTGTACGTGCACACACATTCTTGCGTATATACATGGTATTCATGGATAGCTCTATGTAATACACATATATATATGTATATAGCTATATATATATATATAAATGTATATATATATAACATGGGACATTGTGTACCCCACTCTTTTTTCCTACTATCGAGTAGTTCCTTGTTACCTAAGTGATTCTCCCATGCTTTGTCACTTTTAGAACAAGATCTATATTGTAAAGCCACTAGAATTTAGAAAGGAAAGTTTCTAATGCAAAGACTGGCTTTGCAAAGGGTGACTTGCCACAATAATTGTCTCCGTGTCTGAAGAGGGATTCCGCCAAGCCCAATATTTTTTCCTGCTTCTGATAGATAAGGCTCTAAGGAGGACACTTTCTCTGGTCTAGCGCCACGTTCACATCGTAAATGAAATGACTAGTTTCTGTGCTGTTCAGATGTGAACAGAAAAAAAGGCAGCTTTTGAATATTTCTTTTCCTTTGCTCTGACAACCTAAATGTGTCGAGGAAATCTCTAACTCCTTCTCTTCATCAATGCGTGATGAAGATAGTGTCTTTGGGAGATGAATCAGACTATGACTGGAGGGCAGAGGGAAGTGGGGCAGGTGTGGCCCAGCTGTGCCCTTGAGGGCCTGGGCTGGGGAGACACAACAGAAGTCTCACGATCTGTTCGGAAAGTGCATGCGAGACATGCATTCTTTCTGTACCCATAGAACCGTAATGATGGTGTCCTGTACTGCTGAACTGAACTGCTCATCAACCGAATGTGCTGTTCATTTAAAGAGTACTTGTTCTTGCTGGCAAACTACAACCTGGGAAGGAAGTGACTGCCAAGATGAACAGAAGGTGGAAGGGCATTTGGGGTTTAGCAGCCACACAGCTGCCAGAGGGCAGGTGCTCTGGGACCTCAGCTTGTGTCCTCTGCTGCACCTGCTTGGATGGAGAAATGGGGGACCCCTGCTTGAGTCTGGGGGAGCCCCGGTCAGAGGCTTGTACTGGCCCCCAGCTTTGTGTATGGGTAGCAGGTGATGCTGCTGTATCACACTTACCTCATGAACCGTGGAGGACAACAGCTGTGCTAGAGTTTTCTTTGTGCCATGTGGCTCCTGTGGTCCGAATTCCCACAAGCAAACACCCCTGTCTGTCTGTCTGTCCTGAAAGCCCCAATTCATGGGTTTCAGTGTCTCTGTGTCAAACGCCTCTTCGTTGCTGAGTTGGGAAACGTGGGGTTCACTTGCAGGCGCTGCCTGGGATTGCACTGCGGGGCACACCGCGTCCCTGGCCGGAGGCCTGACTTGCTCGTCTCAGTCCTCCCGTAGTGTTGAAGATGGGTCCTGGCAGGGAGAGGACAAATCTGGTGACCTTGAGGGGCTCCCAACCCACTTTCCCTGTCCTGTTCCCTTTCTCCTCTCATGGCCAAAGTCCAAGCAAACTTTGTTTGAGGGTACACTTTTCATCAAATGTGATTTCATGCCCTTGTGCACAGTTGGTAAATGCATGATTCCTAATCCCACGACTCGCGCTGTTCTCTGACCGGGAGTGGGGACTTTCATGTCTGATGACCCCCTCCCAAGTCCAGGGGTCCGAGGAAAGTCAGGTGGCCTGAGGGAAACATTTTGAAAGAATTAATGCAATTATTACTTGGGGCCTGCTTTGCGTGCTTCGACGGAGTCAGGCGTCAGCTGCTGCGGCCGTACCGTCTCGGTGGGACTAATTCTTCACTGCCGAGATTCTCGGGCCCCCTCCCCACATCCCCATGTTATGCTTGTGGATTTCTGGTAAGAAGCAATTTGGATGATGCTCAGAAATTCCACTGGAAAATATTCTCCTCACCCCATCATCCATTTCGGAGGTGGTCACTGCTCATGCCCTCCCAGAGGACTTTGCCCTGGGGGGTGTGGGTCCCCTTGGCTGTGCCCACTGTCCCCAACTCAGATGGTTGCAAAGGGAGCTCTGTGAAATGTGACGGGAACCCAGCCTGTGCTTAGGGTTCCTTGGTGAGCTGGTCTGGGGTTGGAGATCGGCGTGTGGGCCTACAAGGGCATCTGCAGGGCAGGACCCACGCCAGCCCACATGCCCCATGCCCCAGAGTGTCACCTCCCCTAAGCTACCTCTGGAAAGCTGCTCTAAAGAGCTGTGCTCCCTCCACCGAATTGTAGTTGGCACAGTAGAAAATATTCCTCCGGTTCTGCAGCCACTTCCCCAGTGGCCCCGGGAGCCGCAGACACAGCATCCAGAGCCTTGTGCCAGGTGAGAGCCACCTCTCTCGAGCTCAGGTCTCCACACGCATGGGTTGTCTTTGAAGCCCTGGAGAGGTCGCCCTGGCCCCCGCGCTGTGGGGAGGGCCTGGAGGATGGACCTGTCCTCTGTTCCGGGCCTCCCGGGGCTTCTGTGGGGCCGGATGACACAACTTTCCTCTGAGCACGTCCAGTGTGGGGCAGGCCCACTTGCTGGAGTGCTTTTGAAGTTCTGAGGGAGGAAGAGCTGTAAATTAAGTCCAGTTAGTGCTTTATTTTCCTTTCCGTTTCGTATTTTCAGCAAGTAAATAAGGACAAAGCCTCGCTGCCCTTGGGCGGTCTGACCCCCCCAGCCGCCTCGCCCTCCTGACTGTCTGAGTGGTTCTCACTTCCTGTGGGTTATTAGCCGGGGAGGGAGGGTGCCCGGGAGGGGAGGGGTGAGACAGGCCAGCTACTCGCCCGGTGTTTGTGAAAAGTGGGCTTCGTTTTAAATATTTCCTTGGAATTTCACAACACGGAGAGGATGGCTTGGCTTTGCCGTTGGAGACTGGGGTTGAAAGAACAAAGTAAGCGCAGCCTTGTGGAAAATACCACAGAGGGGCGGGCGATTGATCTGGGAATAAAGTGTGGGAGGGGAGGATGTATGTGAAGGGGTTTCGGGGGACAGGGCGAGGTGACCGGAGTGCTGAGTCAGTGTGGGAACTTGGCAGCAGTGGCGTGGTGGGGAGCTGGTGGCAGTGGTGTGGGTAGGAGATTAACATTCGGTTTAGAGCACAGTTTGGGCAAGACTGGGGCTCATTGAAGATGCCATCTTTGCCCTCCAGTGCTCTCCATGCAGCAGGGAGAAAGACAGTGGGGCCTGTAATTTCAACATCATATCATCAAGGCAGAGCAGATGATTTTCCAGAGTGTTGTGGGAGATAAGCAGGAAGTAGTCATGGAGGACTTCCTGGAGGTGGGATGTCTGAATTGCTTCTTAAAAAACGAGGAGTTAGTCAGGAGCAGGATGGAGGGGCGCCTTCCAGGCCAAGATGCTCCCTGCCAGCTTGGTTTTTCAGACACAAGGGGCAGGTGGTGAGAGATGGAGGGGTGAGTAGGTCTGTCTTCTCTCTTCCCTGAATGGTGGCCTCTGCCAGGTTTGCCCTTCCAGAGATGCACTTTCCATAAAGGCCAGAGGGGTTTGCATCCTCAAGGGCACATGTGATCATGGTTGGTCTAAAAATCCTTTAGAAGCTGCCTCCTGCTTACCAGATAAAGTCACTGATAACCCCTCCACACCTTGACCTTTATCTCACACCCCTAAACTTCGTGCAGGTTCCACTACTTTCTTTGGGCTTTTCTTCAGGCAGAGAGAACGCCCATGGACCACGGGCAGAAGTAGACACGCCCCATCCCCCTCGCCCCGTCATGGACCTCATGATGAGGGGTTCAGGGGTTGCCTCCCCGAGATGCTGCCCTGCAATCCCAGCCAACCGCCCTGCTGGGACCCTTTCCACATGCCCTTCCTTAGTGGTCTTTCATTGAGGTGGTTCCTAGAATGAAATATGAGCTCTCGGAGGACCCCTGTTCTCATCGCTGCATCTCTGGCGCGTTGCTGGAGTTACTGAGTGAATGGATGCTCAGGTCTCCCTAGTCCCAAATCCTTTCCTCTTTACAGGGGCAAGATGGAGTCTCTGTGTCAGGCCCCACCCAGCTTCTCACAGTTCAGTCTCTCTCTCTCAGGCCTCCCATCTCCCCTTCTCAGCTGGCATGCCTTCTCCTTTGCCTCATTCTGCATGCCAGGGGGCCCCCCCGCTTACCTCCAGCGCCATCACATGTGATCTCACATGTAGCTCCATGAGCTGAGGGGGCCACGCCGCTCACCCGGTGGGTGGGGGAGAGGCCGGACCCTCGGAGGCTCAGTGTTGCACAGCTGGCAGGCGGTGGAGCTGGGATTTGAACACAGATCTCTGCTGACCTTACTGCCTGCCAGCTGGACTTTGGGAAGCAGCTTGTGCTTTGCTTGCTGACTCAACCACATGCTGAGGGTTTGCATTTCACAGAAGCAATCCTTAGTTTACTTGTTTTCTTAGCTTGCATGTTTCAGCTCCGTTTCAGGGAAGTGTATTTGTGATTGAATGGGGCTCTTACGGACGTGTGAATTGTATGTCCAAGCAGAAGACCCTAAAGCTGACAGGCTGCTCTTTAACCTCAGTGTGACCTTAGCTCTAGAGAGTTCTGCAGAGGCGGGACTTGGTACTTGGGGTGCACCAGACTTTTCCAGCTAACTCTGTCAAAAAGGAAAAGCCAGTTATCTTTTGACAAGCCAAACAGTGGACACGTGGCCAAATACCGTGCTAATGACTACATGATAGAAAATATTCTTCTAGGAGGGCTGGGTGGGGCGGGAATGTGCTTGTCATCTTTATTACTTTTTTTTGATGTATCACTTATTCACTTGTTATTTTTAGATTTAGGATTCCTACTCCCCGCCCAGTCCTCCAGAGAGGCTAGAACCTTCTGGGCTGATTGACTGAATGCAGCTGTAGTTGCAACAGAGGAAACTTACAAATGGGAGTTTTCCTCTTTAATTTTGTTGTTAATAATTTTCCCTTTTACAGTGAAAGATAATGGAAACCTCATTAGGTGGTTCTTTTCACTATGTCCTTTTTATGTTTTGTGTACGGCTATTATAAGGATCGAAAGATCAAAAGCTCAGTGGACATTGAGTTTGAATCTTTTTCATGTCCTGATCTTTGTCTAAAAAAACCAAAACTTTGTCTAAATCATCAGTATTTAAAGAAGTCAGGAAAAAAGGGGAAACCAGTTATGAGTTAAGGAAATTGATGTAGGGCATTTTAGTTTTTGATAGTGTTAAGAAAAAAAACCTTCAGAAATTCCCAATAAATGTGATGCCAGAAAATATTCCTATTTTAGTGATTATCATTCTTACGATTATTAAATTTTACTAAAGTAGCATATGTAGTTTTGTAGATACAAAACTATTTTCTCTTTTTCCTTTTGCGTCAAAAGTAATGTATCTTTGTCTCCTCCTTTATCCATCTTTTAAAAAGTGATTTTAAAATGTTTTTCTTCTCTGTTAACATTACTGACTGTCAGGGACACCGAAGTGCAGAATGTTCAATATGAATGAAGCAGGCACCCAGACGAGATTGCAAATAATCTTACATCCTTGTACTTCGAACACCAGGGCGGGTTGTGGGGAGAAAGGAAGGCGGCAGTTAGATGAAAATTTAAGTGAAGTTGGTGAGGTTGTTCTTGGATGGGGCACCGATATTGCTGCTATCTCTGTAGTCACAAGTCCTTGGACTCTGGGGCTGTTATAAGAACTGGGTAGAAGCTTTGTTCTTGGATCATCTTTGGGCCTTTGCTAGTCTGGAAGGGCCAGTTTATTATGTCACTTACCTCCCTAGTCTCTAGTCTCCTCTGCTGAGAAATGAAGGGGTGGAGACACCAGCTCCCCACAAGTTCACTGTGTAGGCAGATGTCGTCAGCATTATATTCATTTTGAGTTTGTGTATCTGTCCTTCCTACATGTCTCTTCCCAAGTAACATAAGCCTCTCAGTCCATGCCTCACCGTACGTTCACCTGCTTGTTCTCCTAACTCCTCTGTGAGTCTCTGGGAGGAAAAATCCAATGTTTATTGTTTTTTATCCAACCACAAATCTTCACTTAACTTCCATAACTGATTCTCTTTACAAAATCCCATGACCATCAAAGCCATATAATGTCTTTATGGAAAAGTTTTATGAGTAGCAGGAGCTGACCTTGCCACAGAGACCTACAGGATGAAGGTTGTATTAGTCAGAGTTATCTGGAAAAACAGAACCAGTAGGTTGCATGTGTGTGGAGATGTATGTATGTGAGATGGATAGACGGCTGGGCAGATAAGGAGTCGTCTCATGTGATCATGGAAGCGGGACATCCCAAGATCTGTGGAATGAGCCAGCAAGCTGGAGACCCAGGAGAACCAATATTTCAGTTTGAGTTCAAAGGCATGGAAAAAAAAAAAAAAAAACCCAGCCAGTGTCCTGGCCTGAAGGCTGTGAGGCAGGGGGGATGCTCCGTACTTGGGAAGGCGAGTCTTGGTGTTGTGTCCAGGCTTCCAGCCGACTGGAGGAGGTCCACCTGCGTTAGGGAGGGTCATCTGTGTTACTCAGTGTAGCCATTTAAATGTCAGTCTCATCCAGAAGCATCCTTGCAGAAACCCCTGGAAAGATCACCTGTCTAGGCTACCGGTAGCCCAGTCACCTTGGCTACAACTCCACTGTCACAAAGACTCATCAGAATCAGACAGGTGCCTTGCTGAAACACAGAAGTCCAAGTCCTGTCTCACTTGAACTCTGCTTAACTCAGTGTTTAAAGCACCTTTCCAGTACACCATATTGGAGGCTAGTTTTCTTGAAACATTATCACATGAATAGCACATCACTTGATGTTTGTGAATCTACTTGGGTTACCAGGGTCTCCCAGCCTTTGCTGCTCTCAACAAGTGTAAACATCTGAACCTGTTCTTTTCAGGAATTCCCCTGCTATAGGTAAAGAGGTCCAGGTGTGCTGAGATGACCAAAGTGCTTCTGACAACATCTGGATTTCTGTGGGTGTCCTTTGGGATGGAACTGTCTTCCCCTCCAGCGGTGCTTCTATATGTGATCACATAAGTCCATTAAATGAGGCCTTTAAAAGTGCTGTGTCTATGCAGAGTTCTGAATTCATAGACTCCTCTGAAATGTAGTGATTGGGATAGATCTGGATTTTATTTCTAATTTTTTGAATCCACTCTGGATGCCATGGGAGGCTTTGTCTTCTGATCTCCAGCACCTCATGGGATATCTTTCCTGTAGTGTCTTCTCTCTTCACAGAGACCCTAGAAGGTGTCTTATATCTTGTCTCCCATTAAGGTATAAATGAAGAATGGCTTTAATATATTATCCACTCTGGAAATATCTCCATGTCAGTAGAAAGCAAAGGAACACATCTGTCACTCTGGGTGTCCAGGGATCAGCTGCAAAGGGGACACTGAACTGGAGTGTAGTTTGCACGGAGCCTGTAGCTTTCAGGCATCAGTGCGTGCTCCCACATGCCCATCCAGAATTCTCTGATAGGCCAAGACCAAGAAGAGCTTTGCAGTTTTAATTTTAACTGTCTTACTAGTCTAGAGCAGTGATTCTCCCTAAAGTTCAGCACCAGAATTGCCGGAGGTGCTTTTGAAATGCAGACTTTTGCAGGTCTCAGACCCACGGAGTGGAAACTTCAGCCCGAGGACCTCACATCTTCATTTTTAAATGCCAAAAGTGCATTCTGGTGTTCACTCAACCAGTGTGCTGTTACGTCACGAATAAGAGCGAACAGAATCCTCAATGAGGTCACATTCACTCTGGAGATCAGAGGTTTCAGTGCACTTGGTGACTTCATTGTTTTACTGGCAGATGACCTTGAATGGACAGGAGATGTGCTTAGATCTTCTAGCCATAGTATCGCTGTCATGCAGAAAAATCCTATGGGGGCCTTCCTACAAAGGCACTATTTCAGTTTGTCCCATGAACTTGGAGGGACCTGGGGAGACCCAAAACTTGGGCTACTTTTCTGTTGGGAGAGACTGAAGCGAGCACACGTGTGGAATGTTGGCGTTCCTTCAAGATATCGTTTCCCTGGGTTGATGGGCTGACCTGGGGGTTTAGTGTGAAATGCCAGTATCTTTCTGGGTGCAAGACCAGAGGTGCCTGTTGTGCATGAAGCGACCCCACGCCCGTGCCGAACCTTTAAGGTGGGCCCTCCTGGCGGCCTTCGCGTGGATTCCAAGGCTGCTCTCAACGTCACTGGAAGCCCAGGTTCTGTTCTGCCCAGAACCCCAGTGTGGACAAGCCTCTGGAGCCACTGTTCCCTCTTAGTTTGCCCTTAAAGGAAGGTGATGCTAATATGTCGCATGTTTTGACATCTGTAGAAGAGGCGGGACTGAACCCAGGGTTTAATTTTTTTTTTAAAGATTTATTTATTTATTTATACAAGCACTGGGTACAGTTAGAAGTGTGGGAGGGTGAGAGAATTCACCAGAGCCAGAGCGGAGAATAGAACAGGCAGAGTGACAAAGCACACTGCTGAGGGGAGCAGCGGGCACTGCAGGAGAGGTCTGCTTGGCCATGTGGGACCCTCGCAGGTGGCTGGGGATCGAACCAGCACCGCAAGGCTGCGGGCAGCTTCGCAACCCAGCGCTCAACCCCTGCGCCACCAGGGAGGCCCCCCCCCCAGGGTTTAATTCTTTAGCCACTCTCCAACTTCAGTCGTAAGGAAGTACAAGAGAATTTCTGTTGTCTAAGTAATTACATAACCTTTTATTTTATTTAGATGTGCCATTGAGGTTATTCTATTATCAACTTAAAATAGAAGTAAAAACTCTCTTTGTCCTTATGCCTGATGTCTATTTGCTTCTTACTGTCTGGAGACTGTTTGGAGGCCAGAACGTACAGGACTGTAAGGTCGCTGCCTGCATTTATCCTGGGGCCCTTGTGCAGTTCAGTTTGTCTGGTGTAAGGGCAGAGATGACAGCTGAGCCGCCTCCTCTGCCCGCCTGGCCTGGAGCATGCGCTCCCACAGGTCACTCTGATCTGCACGGCACTGTGTGGGCCTCATAAGTTGTTCTGTTTTTGCCCATCCTGATTAGCACCATCCTGGGGACCCCGTGGGCTGAGGTGGGAGACTGGAACTGGGGTAGGCAGGGAGGCTTGCTTCACCACCCCGTGTCGGCTGCATCTTCTTTCCTTGAGGTTTGCAAAGGGACCCCATTTTGCCCATGGAGATGCCTTCTTATTTACATCATCTCTGTTCTTGCTTGGACAGATCCAGCAATGGGAGCAGAATCTGGAGAAATTCCACATGGACCTCTTCAGGATGCGCTGCTATCTGGCCAGCCTACAAGGCGGGGAGCTGCCGAACCCCAAGAGCCTCCTGGCTGCTGCTAGCCGCCCCTCCAAGCTGGCCCTGGGCAGATTGGGCGTCTTGTCTGTTTCATCCTTCCATGCTCTGGTGAGCTCCTGGGCCAGCGGGATTGAGGGAGGACCTCGAGTGCCCCCCTTGCTCCAGCTTGTCATGACATTAACCTGATAACTGTCCAGGCCACCCAGGGGGCAGTAGGGGCTGGAGGCTGTAGGTCCCAGCTTCTCTGCTGCCCCTTCTAGGAATTCATTATTCCTTACGATCTGCTTTTCTGACCGTCCCCTCCTGCGGGTGGGCTGGGGCATTCCTGAGGTGCCCCAACATCCATGAAAGGAAGCAAAGGGCTGCCTGCCAGAGGCCAGGTCTGCAGTGCCCTGTGGGTGTTCTGAACAGCTGCTTTTGGTGGACAGTCAGGGCTGTCTAGAGTGGATTTGCTGGCCCTGCTGCCTCCTGTGGAGAGACCCCAGTGTGCAGTAGGTTCGCGGCTCCAGATGAGAGCCTTCTACACAGTCTGTGTGTCAGACCCGTGGTGGCTCTGTGGCCCGGTAGGACCCCATTTATGGCAGCAGAGCTTGCTTCTCTTCCCTCTGTCACCCAAACACCATACTTTCAGATTTTTAAATCTGAGTTTTAAATCAGGTGTGCTCCAGAGACGACTCTGCTCTGCGGAAGAGAACGCTCTCCCTGAGCCAGCGGGGGAGAAACAAGAAGGGCATTTTCTCTTCCTTGAAAGGACTGGACACCCTGGCGCGGAAGGGGAAGGAGAAGAGACCTTCCGTCACCCAGGTGAGCTGCTCAGCTTGGAGGTGGGTGGGGGTGAGCAGCCAGCCAGTCCAGAGTGACACCCCTGCTGGTCAGCTGCCAGGGATCTAAGTCACAGGTGCTCACACCGCTAGGAATGCGGTGGAAGCTGGTGGGAGGATGCGTCTCAGTGCGCTTTGTTCTCCAAAATGAAAGGCCCAAGTTGCACGGTCTCTTTCTGGTTCCCCCCAAATTCGTGTACTCCTTGCTCGCTCACATCTGCAGTGCTTAGGGGCACACAAGTAAGGATCAGAAAACAATCCTTCCTTTTTATTGCCTTTAGTATAATACTGACTTTTCCTGTGCATTTTTTTTTATTAAAGTAAATATGTAGAATTAGAAATGGAGCGACAGCCAGATCCTCTGGCTGGAGCCAGACTCTCCCCAGGGGCAGGCCTGGATGGCATCTACCTGCATCCGAAGCTCTGCACTCTGGGCTGTTGCTGCTACTTATTTTTCTCCAAGAAGAGCTTCTGTTTCAATATTTCATCAACTAAAAATAGCCTGAGCACCTGGTCTTGACGCATGGCCCAGGTGCACTGACCTGTTCTCAGAACACAGTGACCGTGCATGGCGGGAGTATTTCCTAACGCTCGACCCAGTAGATAATTATGAATTTTATGTTGCTGATTGATATGCTTCAGCCTTTTTTCTGTTTTCAAAGACTGCTGAAAAGATCAGTTATCATTTCATGATCTCATCAGAGGGGGAAAGGCTTGTGAGTCGTCTTGAAGAGGTTTTTTCTTTTTAACAGGGGGCTTTTATTCTGCATGTACTTCCAGTGTCCCCTGAAGGAGGGTCCCGTCTTACGGAACTTTGTTTTCTAAAGCTTATGTGGATATTTGGCTGTGCAGATCAGGAGCTGACAGGAATAGATGAGATTCTTTGACCTTATCCTTGAAACAAGTAGAGGTAGTGGGGAGGGGCTGTTCGTTGAACCCAGCAAAACACATAGTCTTTTATACACAGCCACTGTATATGAATACTCGTACAATATCACCTTTTGAGATGATGGTTCTATTTCCAATTTAATTGTAAAGAGCAAGCATTGCCATGTGTTACATGGAAAAGTATTTCTTCACTATCATTTCTTCACTGGCTGCTGGGCTTATAGTTTTCTTTTATTTTTTAATTTTTTAATTTTTTTTTATAGAGGCATGTTTTTATTTATTTGTTTGTTTGTTTGTTTATACATGCACTGGGTACAGTCAGAAGCGCGGGAGGGTGAGAGAATTCACCAGAGCCAGAGCGGGGAGCAGAGCAGGCAGAAGGACCGAAGCACACTGCTGAGGGGAGCAGCGGGCGGCAGGAGAGGTCTGCACGCCATGTGGGACCCTCCTCTGGTGGCCGGGGAGCAGCCGGGGATTGAACCGGCGCTGCAGAGGCTGCGGGCAGCTTCGCAACCCAGCGCTCAACCGCTGCGCCACCAGGGAGGCCCTGGGCTTATAGTTTTCAACTGAATTTCTAGGAAGTTTAAAATTGTCTTTGAGGCAAGTTCTGATTTTAATCATGACAATCCATTCTATATAATTAAATGATAATGATAAATAATTTGATAACTTATTTTTCCGAGAGGTTGCCATTCCACTCATTAGGTATGAACCTAATTAGTTCGTACCACCTAATCACTACCCCATTGTGTGTGGTAGATGTTCTCAACTTAAGATGTCATTTGGTGGGACAGTTTTGTTTTAAAATGACGTGAAAGTAATGGTGGTGTTGGTATTTTTATCACTGAATGAAGTGGGTGTGTCGGGTGTCCATAAATGTCTGAATGGACTGTAATGTTTTACGATATCTAGAAGATGAAATTAGAAAAACTCAATTATCCCTAGTCTTTCCATCCAAGCACAACCACGTTTAATAGCCAACATACTTCTTCCCCATATTTATTTTATAGACATTTGAAAAATAGTTGCCAGCTTGATTTTATTGATCTTGCCAAGTAATATTGAGCTCTGTCCCACATCTTCAGAAATGTGTACTTCTTGGTGAAAAGCACTATCAAGATGATTCAGGACTACTTGAATAATACATGGTATCATAACAAAATTTAATATTCAGTCATGTTAAGGGATTAAAAGCAACTTCAATTTTGAAATTAAAACTTTAGATGTGGTAGAGTAGTAAATAGTTTACCTCGTGATATGGAGATCTTGTAAAGTATTATAAACTGGAATTTTTAGATACTGAAAAAGGGTAGGTGAGCACCGCAGAAGCATTTCATTAGTCTTTACCCCCTTTGTCTATCAGGTATTTGATTCAAGTGGCAGCCATGGATTTTCTGGAACTCAGCTACCTCAAAACTCCAGTAACTCCAGTGAGGTAAACTTTGGGGTAGAGGACGACCATCTTGTTTTGCAGCAAGGATACTGTTAAGCCGGGAATGCTAGCTCAGGGTCTTCACATGAATGAGTTGAAAAGAAATTTAGAATTCAGATCGTCCCCACTAGGTAAATAAGAGCTGGTCTCAGAATGTCAAGTATTTTTGAATATTCTGAACTTGTGACAACTATGCCTTAAAATTGGTGATAGGACTCAAGTCAAAACAGCAACTTTCATTTATTCGTCCCTATTCCTCGGCAATATTTACCCTTATTTGAGAGTTTAGTGAAGCCAAAATTGCATTTTCCTTTCAGGGTTGTCAGATACCTTCACACCTGTGCTTTGAATCCACAGCCTTTGTGTCTCAGAGCACCTCAGGGAAGCTGCCTGCTGGGCTCCTGCTAGCCTCCAGAGTGTCTTCCTCAGAAACACTCTGACTGGAATTCTGGAGTGTGGGGAATATTGTCTGGATGGGCTTGGACTCTGTCTGTTTTCAAGCCCCCAACTTCCCCTTAAAGCTGTGTTTTATGTTATCATCTGTTTTTTTACTGGCTGCTTTACCACATCATTTTACCTTGGGTTTTATGTCCAACTAACCTCTGAAGTATTTGTGGAGGTTGGAACCCGATTTAAATAGACTTGAACAAGCTTAAGATTCTGCAGAAGCAAGCAGCGTTATTTAATAAATTCATTGGGGATAGTTCAGTGAATTAGGAATTTAGTTTGAGAAAACTGAGGAATGGTGGAGGGTCAGATACTGCGAGTGGCCTGGGAGGTGAGTGAGGAACTTTCTCGCTGTCATAAACAGGCAACAGCACAGCACCTGTCCTGCCTTCGGGGGAGGCCAGCTCTGCCTGAGCTGCTTCGTGGCCCACAGGTGCGGTGGGTGCTGCTTGCAGGTCACACCTCCTCCTGTCTCTTCCCTTCTCCTTTTGCTCCATTGCACCAACCATGGCAGCACCTGGAAGCCAGACCCACACCTCCCTCTTTATAAATCATACCAGCAAAAGGCAGACTTTTCCTGATGACCACTTTCTATTCTCTGTCCCTTCATTTCTATGCCCCTGCAGAGCCTATTTCAAATTCCAGAGCCAGTCACACCAGGGTTTCACTTAGATTTGAAGAAGATTGCCTGACCCTCACGTGCTGGGCTGTGCTTGGCACTGCAGTGAAATGGATTGTGGATTCTTGGGGTTTCCCGGTGCATATTATTAATAAGTATATCTGCACTACTCTACAACAGCATTTGGTGGGGGGAATAATGTCCATACCTAGGTCATATGTGACCCAGACATACAAAGTGAGCACGTGCTGTCGGAAAATGGAGCCAGTAGACTTGCTCCATGCAGGGTTGCACAGCCTTCAATTTGTAAAAAGTGCAACAACTGCCAAGTGCAATCCAGTGAGGTGCAGGAGGATGAGGCATGCCTGCGCTTTTACATGCCTGCACTCCCTTTACGTGCCTGCACTCCCTTTACTGTTTGTCGCCTTGCCAGGTATGTCCTGTCTTGTGGCAAGATGAGGACCCGTTGTGTCTAGTTTTATGTTTATCTTATGATTATGTCTGTGTTCTCCCCCACAGCACGCTGTCGAGGATATAGTGTTGCTTTATACATTTGTCTATTAGTTGTTTCTATTAGGTGTGATCCTTTAGTACTTAATAACTCCGTGATCTGCAATAATAAAAGCCAACATTTTATGGCCATATCGCTGCCAGCCTTCAATAGCCATTTAAAAGTCTTACTTTGAAAATTAAAAAATTATATCATCAGCGCACTATTAGCAGAACCTATGTTGGACTTTGAAAATAAATTTTGCTGAAATAGCCATTATTGGTCAGTGTCAAGCTTCAGTGCTTATTTAATCAGAGCTCAAATGCACCCAAAGGGGTGAGCAGGGCCGCCGCATCCAGCCTTGTGTTGAAACATTTATCCCTGTTGAGTTTCACTGAGCGTGCTGGTGGGATAGGGATACTGAAGAACTTGCTTTGATTTGTGGGGCGACTTTCATGGTGTATCTGTCACTTCTGGGCTGCGGTCTGTCGGTGACTATGTTTAAATTGAATTGCAGATAGAAATGGGGGGGTTTCTGTTGTTTTTATATCTTGGGGACTTAAAATTCTGCTTATAGCTCTGGTTGAATAATTTACATCACATCTCGCTCCTTTCCCTGTGTGAATCCTTGGAGAATACACCACCTCTTTGTGTGCAGACAGTGTGTTGTGTCATGAGTGTAAGGCAGGCAGGCAGCCAGGCCAGAGGCGGATGGGCGGGTGCATTTACAGATACTCCGCTCTAATTGGCGCTTCATGTAACAGTCGGCAGTGAGTCACCCTAATTCAAAATCCGTTAAAGTTGGAATAAAGCCAGTCATATCTGAGTCTTTTTGAAAGGACACTTTGGCTAGCCAAAAATGAAGGCTCTTCATGGGGTCCTTCTTGATGAGTAATAATGAGTCCAGTCAGTTTGAAGGGAGGTGTTTGTTATGGAGATGGGACCACAAATCCCCGCTGAGGCTGAGGAGGGCGGCTACCCCAGAAGCTTCTTGTAGAAATTGTGGCAGCCCCTGGGCCTTGGCTCGGCTCCCGTGGAAAACTGGCCTGGGGGTGTCCCAACTTTCTGTGACAGGGAGTGAATGAAGTATTGTTGCCTTAGTCATTA